TTAATTTAAATTCATCTAATTAACATATAATGTATTATTGGTTTCAGAGGCACAGGCCTGTGATTCATCAGTCTTATGTAATACCCAGTGCTTCTTACATCACGGACCCTCCTTAATGTCCATCACCCAGTTACCCCATCCCTCTACCACCACTCCCCCAGCAACCCTCAGTTTGTTTCCTCTGATAAGAGTCTCTTATGGTTTGTCTCCCTCTCTGGTTTCATCTTGTTTTATTTTTTCCTCTCTTCCCCTACGATCCTCTGTTTTGTTTCTTAAATTCCACTTATCAGTGAGATCATATGATAATTGCCTTTCTCTGATTGACTTATTTTACTTAGCGTAATACCCTCTAGTTCCATCGTCATTGCAAATGGTAAGATTTCATTTTTTTGATGGCTGAGTAGTATTCCATTGTGTGTGTGTGTGTGTGTGTGTGTATCCATTCATCTGTTGATGGACATCTGGCCATCATAGTTTGGCTATTGTGGACATTGCTGCTATAAACATTGGGGTGCAGGTGCCCCTTCGGATCAGTATATTTGTATCTTTGGAGTAAATACCCAGTAGTGCAATTGCTGGGCCAGAGGGTAGCTCTATTTTCAAATTTTGGGGGAACCTCCATACTGTTTTCTAGAGTGGCTCCACCAGCTTGCATTCCCACCAACAGTGTAAGAGGGTTCTGAGCACTCTCTTTTAAGTGGCAACCATCCTTTTCCATTTCCCCTTTACTGTGTTTCCATAGCACTTACAACCTAAAATACCATATCATGTAATTATTTATAATGCTTGCCATTTATTACCCCCACCATAATTAAGCCCCACAGAGAGGTTTTTTTTGTTTGTTTGTTTATTTGCTTGTCTGTTTCCTTTGTTGTATCCCAGACACCAAGCACCTAGAGTGCTGGTGCATAGTAGAAACAGAAGGAAAGAATTAGTGAACTGATTTAAAAAGATAACATCTGTAGATGTCATTCAGAATGGAGCACAGAATAAAAGTAATTAAGAAATATGGCAGGTCAAATAAGTGTAGCTCAGTCTTATGTCTTATATCTTATGGAAGTCAAGTAGAAGTGAATAGAGAATGGGGTAAAGGCATCATTCAAAAAGGTAATGGCTGAGAATTTTCCAGAAATGGGGCTAAACAAAATTTATATTTGAAGAAACATGACAGTCTTGAGCCATATAAATAAAAACAAACCCCAAGTTATATATACTAAGGGAATGGGGGAATACAGAATATAGAATAAAATTAAAGTAATAGTAGTAGTAGTAATTGCAGCTAACATTTTAATAATATTCACCATGTGCTAGGTACTGTTCAACACACTTTTTTAAGATTTATTTATTTTAGAGAGAGAGAGAGCACAAGTGGGAGGGGCAAGGAGAGGGAGAGAGACTCTCAAGCAGACTCCCCCCTGAATCAGGCCTCGATCTCATGACCCTGAGATCATGACCTGAGGCAAAAATCAAGAGTCAGATACTCAACTGACTGCGCCACCCAGACACCCCACACACTTTATGTATGTTAAATAATCCCCACAATAGCCTTTGATATAGATATTATTATGGTATGCATATTACACATGCGGAAACTGAAACACCAAGAAGTCTAGTAGCTTGCCCAATGTCGCCAGCTAGTAAGTGGTGGAATAGAATTTGAATGCTAGCAGTGCAGTTTCAAAATAAATTCTAGATAGGTTAATGATCTTACCATAAAATGAATTTATCAGAAATTCTAGACAAACGGCAAGATCTCATTCTTTTTTATGGCTGAGTAATATTCCATTGTGTTTATATGCCTCACCTTCTTTATCCATTCATCTCTCTTGTCATCTGTAACAACGTGAATGGACCTAGAGGGTATTACACTAAGTGAAATAAGTCAGACAGAGGAAGACAAATACCATATGATTTCACTTATATGTGGAATCTAAGAAAACAAAACAATTCAACGAGCAAAAAACAGAAACAGAGTTATAAATACAGAGAACAAACTGGTAGTGGCCAGACGGGAGAGAGGTGGGAGGATGGGCAAAACAGGTGAATAAGGGGCACAAACTTCCAGTTATAAAATAAATAAGTCATAGGGATGAGAAGTACAGCATAAGGAATATAGTCAATAGTATTATAATAACTTTGTATGGTGATAGAAGGTAACCACACTTACTGAGGCGAGCATTGCATAATGTATAGAATTGTGAAATCACCATGTTGTACACCCAAAACTAATATAATATTGTATGTCTACTATACTTCAACAAAAAAGAGAGAGAGAAAGAGAGACCTAGAAGAGAGAGAAGAGAAGAACATGTTAATTCAGAGGCAGAGATTTCAAGCCAAGGAACACGTGGCGACACCAGAAACTGGAAGGAAGAGGCAAGGGAGGGTTTTCCTCCAGAAGCTTTGGAGGGAGTATGGCCCTGCCAATTCCTTGATTTTGGACTTCCGGTCTCTAGAACTGTGAGAGAATAAATTTTTGTTGTTTTAAGCCACTAAAAAAATGCCAGACAAAATTTCCTGTTTTAGTCAGGATGTACTAGATTATACTACAATAGCACTCAAATCCAAAATCTCAGTGGCTTAAAACAACACAGGTTTATTTCTTGCTTATGGTCATGTCCATCTGATAGGATGGGACCTAGCTCTGTGTCATCTTCACTCCAGAACCTAGGCTGGTGGAGTAACCACTATTACTATAACCATGGTTGCTGTGAAGAGGAAAAGAGGGAACATGGTTATTGCTCTAGTTCTTGAAACTTCCATTTAGAAATTTTCAAATGACACGTATCTGTTTCATTGACTAAAGAACAAGTCACATGGCCACACCTAACCCCAAAGTGGCCAGAAAAGACAAGCTGATGTATATTACCCAAGGGGAAGAACCAGAAATATTTGATGAAAACACTGAAAACTTTCATAATCTAGGTGAATATATAGAGAATATTTTAAATGTGGGGAGGAGCTTTCTAAGCATGAAAGAAAGTATTGGTAGATTTCAGCATATAAAAATTAAGAACATCTCTGTGTCAGAAATAACAAACTGAGCAAAGCCATTCGTAACATATTATTAGACCAAAGGTTAGAATTCTTCATGTACAAAAAATTTAAACAATTTTAAAACATTAATTTTAAAATGGACTAAGATGATGAGCTGGAAAATAGCAAAAGAAATGCAAATGGAAAAGTGTTCAACTTTATTAGTAATTAAAGCAAAATGCTGTTTTTACTTATAAGATGCTGATAACCCGTTTTGATGAGAATAATAGAAAAGGGGGGCACCTGGGTGGCTCAGTCATTGAGCGTCTGCCTTCGGCTCAGGTCATGATCCCAGGGTCGTGGGATTGAGCCTCGTATCGGAAGGAAGCCTGCTTCTCCCTCTCCCACTCCCCCTGCTTGTGTTCCCTCTCTTGCTGTCTCTCTCTGTCAAATAAATAAATAAATAAATAAATAAATAAATAAATAAATAAATAAATAAATAAATAAAATCTTAAAAAAAAAAGAATAATAGAAAAGGTGCACTATGTTATTGCTGTATTTATTAAAAACAAAGAGAAAACAAACTCTATCTAGAGGACAGTTTGGCAATGTGTATCAAAAGTTCTAGATTTACAATGCCCATTGCTTTGACCAGACAGCTAGTCCAGTTTTAGGGATTTCAATAAAGCCGTACATAAATATTTAGCTATAGGGAAGTTTACTGAAGCATTGTTTATAGTTGGCGAAAAGCAGAAATACTTAAGTGTTCAACAATAAAGGACAGGTTAAATTAACTATTGTTTATCCCTATAGTGGCACATTTTCTGCAGCATTAAAAAATGTGGGCAGGGAATATTTATATTATTGAGAAAAAATAGATTATAGAACAACATACATACTTCTGCTGTTTGAAAAATGTGTGTATGTATAAGAGTAGTCTGAAAGGATAAGCATCAGAATGTTAACACAGGTGGGCTTAGGGGCCCACCTAGAGACCAGAAGTCCTTTTTTGATGATCTGTACTTCTGATTTTTACCATAACCTTGTATTGCTTGTATGTCTTTTAAAATATAATAAAAATAAATCAGTGGCAATGGTTGGTACACATTTCACCATTGGGCTTACTGATGCTCAGTCTCCTTATCTATTCTTTTTTCTAAAGCTGGGGCCCCTTCTTATGCCTTGGACCCACAGTTTCTCCATTGGCTCCTGCTGCTAGTCCAGTCCTGACCTTGTGCCTCTACTTTGTTAACTGGGCGTCTGCCTTTTCCTGTCATTCCCAATTCTTTTCTCAGTAACGTCTTTTGAATCCCAGGTCTTCCAATACCAGGACCCAGATTTCCTGTCACTGATCACCTTGGGATGGATCTCCTGCCCCCAAGTTCCAAGCTGGTGTCAGCAACCCAGTTCCTCCAGAGGACATCTTTGATTCTGACTTTCTGCCCTTCCTGTTTTCGTCTCCAGGCAGATGCCACACTCCACCTGCTGGGCAGGACACCCACCTCCTAACCTGTATTGGGCTGCCACTTGTTCTCCAGCTGCCATCCCTTCTAGATGCCACGAGTTACCTTTCCTCCCACCCTGACATGCCCAACCACCGGCTGCTGCATTCCTGCAGAGACTCTAGGTCCAGTTTCCTGCACTTCCCAGACTACTCTGTGCCACTGTAATTAACTACGGTCCCCGCTACGCATTTGTCCCTGGGTTAAATTTCTCCCAGCTGCTTCTCTCTTCCAGGTAGAAAACAATAAAAGAATCAACTGGTAGTAACTTACATTATCTGCTGTTGTTCAAGGTTTGTGTGGCTGACAGTGAGAAATCTTTGGGTGAATTTTGGCCATCACCCTTGGCATCCACTATAACACTTAGCATAGGTGTACCAATAGAGGGCACTCCTCCCATTTCCAGGCACAACACTGAACTGGAAAGAGTCTACCTCTGTGCCTCCCGAGCAGGGAAAAAGCAATGAATTACCTGTTATAAAACAGTGCTTAATTGTTTGTTTCTTCCACTGTTGTACCCAGGTATTACTTTGTTTTTCCCGGGATACATCTGTGTTGGGTCATTTTGTGTACAACAGTGCTTCACCACCAAAATCATACATAAGAGGTAAAATTTTAGTTACATAAAGGAAGTATTCTTTAAGACTTACAAAATCATACCAAGACATATTTTATAGCATTTATTGGTGTTGTTAATTTTTCTTTTATTGTAAAGTACTTAATAAGATTTCTCTCAGATTATTGTAACCATACTTTCACTCCTACTCACATCAGGGCCTGAGCAACTCATCACAATCACAGGCAAGTGGTTCTCAGAAGCAGCACTTAGAGTTACCTCCTTTATCTTCCCTGTTTACCCTCCCCTCCGTTGCTGTTTTTGTCATCTCTGTTGACTTTTATTTTCCCTCCTAACTACGAGTTTATCACACAAATTTGCTTTTTCTACTTTTTTTTCCCTTCTCTATTCCTTCCCTCAAAATGGTCTACCACATTTAAAATTTGATGTAATTTATATGCTATTAGCTCTCTAATTTCTATTTGAGGGCTTTCTTCTCTATCACTAGCTGCCTACAAGATATTACTATTTCAATATCCTACTATCACCTGACAACAGATCTAATTTCAGCTGGAAGCCTTTCTCAATTTCTCCTTTTTATTAAGTGGTGAACACCCAGCAGTGAAAGCTTATAACCCCATTGTGTATGATCGTTCTGCTGTTCCCATAAAGAAAGAAACTGTTTCTCCTATACCTCCCAAGTCTGTCAGCCTGATTACTACAACCCCTGCCCTAGGACCGGCCTATGCTACCCACTGTACTTCTAACCAACCGGCTACAGATTGGGGGGCGGCCAACAACCTGCTTTTCAGTTAATTTGCTAGAGCAGCTCACAGAACCCAGGGAAACATGTACCTCTGCCAGTTTATTAAACGGCATGATAAGACAGATGAATAGCCAGATGAAGCATACACAGGGCGAGTTCTGGGAGTGTCCTGAGCATAGGAGCTTCTGCCCCCATGGAGTGGTGGTGTGTCATCCTCCCAGTGTTGATGTGTCTGCCTACCTGGAACCTTTCTGAATGCCTTACTACTGGGACTTTATGGAGGCTTCCTCGCCTAGGCATGATCAGTTATTAATCTCATTTCCAGCACCTGTCCCCCTCTCTGGAAAATGGCAGACAGGGCTGAAAATTCCAAGGTTCTAATCATGACTTGGTCGTTCTGGTGACCAGTCCTCATCCGGAAGTCCACCAGAGTCACACCAATAGAACAACAGATGCTCCCAGTCTCTTATCACTTAGAACTTTACAAGGGTTTTCACTAGCCCCGTATTTAGTACCCATTCTGTACCATCCATATCTCTTTCCCTCTCTCTCTCCCTCTCTCTCTCTCTCACGTCCACTTTTCATTATTCCATTCTTTCCTTACTCACAAGCTCAGTCCTTGTTATCTCCACCCTAACCTAAATTGTTCATGCTCCTTATTCTTTGTCTCCTCTCTGCCACCACTCTCAACAAAAACAAAAAAAAATTTTTTCATTAAAAACTTACCTTAAAGCCAAGTGCAAGAATGCATGAGACTTTTCAATAGACTCAAAGGTCTTAGAAAAAAAAAAAAAAAAAAACTGTCAAGATGAAAGCTACCTAAAGATTTCAGTGGAAGGCAGGAAAAAACTCAGGACCTTAAGAGTTGAGGGAAAGCTCTTTTTAAAAACTACTTTAAACATTTGATTATGCTGAAGTTACTTTAATTTTCTGAAACAATTCTGATTTCCAATATTTAGCCTCATTCTTGGACCACATGAACTATTTTAGGATTCAGAAAATATTACCACTATATGGTTTCAGACATTTAATTTTTAACTTTTCAGCACATTCCAAAGGAATGTAAACTAATGAGGCATTGCAAAGCCTAGGACTTACTTTAATGAATAGATTAGAATTATTTATAGTTAGCAAAACAAATCCATGCTTCCAAATAGATGCTTCTCTTCTTAACTGCTTAAGGAAGTTGAAAGCATTTGTTTTTTTAATTACTTTGTATCAGTTGCTCATACGTAAGTTTATATTATTGACTTTGAGGAAAGGATTTGCTAGTATGAAAAGATTAGCTGGTAGATTTTCAAATTAATTCCATATCCTGCAATGAAGTCCAAGGAGATTGTACTATAGTAGTTTTAAAATTCCATTATGAGTACATCCACGAAATTAGTTAATTTTTAAAGATTTATTTTGATCACATTGAAACCTTCTATGATTTTTCTTACAGGAAAACTAGGACTAGAAGAGTATGCGGTCTTTTATCCACCAAATGGTAAGAGTAATACTATTGCTTCCTCTAGTGGGAAATAGGAAAATTACAACTTCTATAACAAATGTGACCTTGTCTATGTGGAGAAGGGTAATAATTTGTTATCTAAAGTAAACCTCCTATAGAATACCTATTTTAGTGAACTTTCCCATGTTTGTGGTAGGTTTGTGCAAGCCAACGCACACCCTCCCTGGCTTTCCTTGAAACCAGTAGGGATATCTGTGAGAAAGCTTAGCCGACTTAGGTCTAGGGGACTTCACTTTCCTCTGCGGGACACCGACTGGGTCCATCCAGGGCCTTCCTTTTTTTTCTTCTTCTTCTTCTTTTTTTTTTTTTTTTTAAGATTTTATTTATTTATTTGACAGAGCACCCAAGCAGGGGGAGCAGGAGAGCAGGGGGAGCAGAAAATGAAATCTTTTTATTTCATAAATACCACACTTGTCAAATTATGAGAATAACAAAGTTTAACACCAGGCAATGCACTCAACTGATTCGAGCACTGTGGCAGTGAAGTCGAAGGAAGGCCCTGGGCCTGGGGGGCTCAGTCAGTTAAGCGTCTGCTTAACTGGGATCCTGGGATCAAGCCCCCCATGGGGCTCCCTGCTCACCGGGGAGCCTGCTTCTCCCTCTCCTTCCACCCGTCCCCCTGCTTGTGCGCTCTTGCACTCTCTCTCTGTGTCAAATAAATAATAAAATCTCTAAAAAGATTTTGAAGAAATATATCACCAAGATAATCTATTTTGACTATATAAAGTGATCAAATGTGTAATGACTTCATTAGATATTAAGTATTCCTTTGAAATTATTGGACATTTTTTAAGATCTGCTTTTCGGAAAAGCAATATAGAACATTCCTCATTATGATAATGTTAAGTAGTCCTTGTTATCTCCACCCTAACCTAAATTGCTCATGCTCCTTATTCTTGTCTCCTCTCTGCCACCACTCTCAACAAAAACAACAAAAAAATTTTCATTAAAAACTTACCTTAAAGCCAAGTGCAAGAATGCATGAGACTTTTCAATAGACTCAAAGGTATTAGGAAAAAAAAAAAACTGTCAAGATAAAAGCTACCTAAAGATTTCAGTGGAAGGCAGGAAAAAACTCAGAACCTTAAGAGTTGAGGGAAAGCTATTTTTTAAAACTACTTTAAATGCATCCTGAAGAAGTCCTTTCACCCCAGTAGAGTTAAGAACATGGGCTTTATAATCCAGCAGACGTGGGTTCAGATCCCAGTTCTGCCAGCTCACCCTATGACCTTGGGTAAGTTATATGACTTTGCTGAGCTGCAGATGGATTAAATGAGACACAATCTATAAAAAGGGCACAGTGACTGATATGTAGCCAGTGCTCAAAACATGCAGCTGCTACTGGTCTATTTCGCTTCTTTGTCAACCTCTCCATGTGAAGGTCATACTCGTCATTCAGGGCACTGTTCTCTGTATGCACCTGTCAGTATGACTTCTCAGGGTCTTCCACGGACCATCCTCCTCTGCCCCTCTTGAAACACCAGAGTTCTCCCATGGCCCACCCCACCCCTCGTCTGCTGCTCTTCTGTTCACACATTTTCCTCGGGCTTTTTTACCTGCTTTCTTGGTCCTCTTTGTTCATTACTCTAAAATTTACATCTTCAATTATGACCTCTATAATAATGACCTCAGGCTTAACATATCTCAACATGAACTCATTCGTTTATCTTCCTATACCCACTATTTAAAAAAGAAAACAAAAACAAGATGAAATTAAGAACAAAACAAAAACTGTGCTATTTCTCTCTCAGCTCATTGTGCTCTTATCTAACCAGTCATTCAAGGCCTAAAGCCAGGTAGTCATCCTTGTCTCCTCTCAGTCTTGCATCCCCCTCATCTAATAAGTCACCAGGACCATCCAATTTTATCTTTAAAACGCACCTGGAACCTCTCCTCCCTCTCTTCCTCACCATAACTGCTGCCTTGTCCTCAGCCAGGCTCTACCATCTCTAGCTTATTAATTATAATAGACACCTCACTGGTCTCTCTTTTTCCAACCTTTTCTAACTTTGCTTTATTTTTCACAGTGCTGTCTGAGTTTTACATCTAAAAGGAAAATCTAAAAATTGCCATTTTTCTCCTTAAAGTTTTCTTAATGGCTTCCCATCTCTTCACAAGTAATGTCTAATGGCCTTTTGGCCTGGCGTTCAGGGACCTCTTTTGACTCAGACCTCTACTCAGTCTGACTCCTAGCTTTGTATCCCCCGTTTTCCTGTCTCACTTTTCTTTTTATCATAGCCATATCAAATGATTAGCTACATACATGCACATGCACCTCTACATACTCTCTCAGAGCTCCGTGCTGCTTCTTGCCTCATTACCTCTCCATTCTGGTGTGTGGAGAAGGCTTTCTTCACCTGCTCTCAGGCCTCACCTCAGGAAGCTTTTCAGGAAGCCTTCCCCACATCCCCACATTAGGTTAAGGACTCTTTCTTTAGGCTCCCATGGTATCCAGTGTGAAAATCTTTGATATCTCTTGGTATATTGTCTTGATATTATTTGTTTATGCTTTATCTTCTCCTCTAGATTGCAAGCTCCTTGAGGTGTAAGGCCATATTCGTTTTTGTTCTCCCAGCATCTAGTCATCGTAGGAGTTTAATGAGTATTTATTTGAACTAAATTACAGGATTTTTAATTTTAACATTTATTTATGTTATACTTCTGCCTCCTCAGAAACCTAATTTTCAGATAACTTTTTATGTTTATCGAAGAGTCAGGAAATCAAAGGAAAAATACCTCTGAAGAGCCCAAAGAGGTGTCCGTGGCATCAAGTTTCTCCTCTCTGCATTCCTAGGAGAGCTTTTTCAACTTAGTTTAGAACATATTAGCTTGGGGCCCCTGGGTGTCACAGTCGGTTAAGCATCCAACTCTTGGTTTCAGCTCAGGTCATGATCTCGGGGTTGTGAGATTGAGCCCAGCATCAGGCTCTGAGCTCAGCGAGGAGTCTGCTGGGGTTTCTCTCCCTCTCCCTCTGCCCCTCCCCTCGCTTGCTCATGTGCATGCTCCCTCTCTCAAATAAATAAATCTTAAAAAAAAAAAAAAAAAGAACATTTTAGCTTTTACTTAACACACATGCCCAACAAGCTTGGTTTACCACTGTTTATGCCCCCCGCCCTGTACGAAACTGGAAGCGTGGAACGGGACCCTAATAACAACAGTAGAAGTGAAAATCAGAGGCTTCACAAAGGAAAACAGAAAAACTATAAACCAGCACATAAGAGCACTCCAGAAAATCAGTCTGGGACCATTTTATGTAAAAGCTCTTTAAAAGGTCTCACTGGGTTGTAGCCTACTATCATAATTTAAGACTTTTGTTAGGAACTCAAGGCACCAAGGAAAAATATTGCTGTAATAATGATCACGGTAACCTCAGCAGCAGCTGTGTTCCAGGCAGCATGCTAAGCACATTGCATGTGCTCATTCACTTAATCCTTGCAAGGCAGGTACCTTCTGAGGCAGGTATGAATATTATCCCTATTTACAGATAAAGAAGCTGAGGCATAGCGTGTCAACTTGCCCAGCTGGCGAGTGTCGAAGCCAGGATTTGAACCCAAAGCTCTTTGACTTCCGTATTCTTGATCACCATGCCCTGTTACCTTGGGAAGTGTTACTGTGTACACTGAAGTGTCTTTTAGAAGAAAAGGAAGGGGCTAATATATTGAAAAAGTAGATGTGTAGAATAGGTTCTGGGAAGATTTTCATTCAGAATAAAAATAGTTTACTGCTAAATGGGGTAAACCTACAGCTGTTCATAAACTTAATTCTTCAGAATAATTTCTTCTTTCAGGTTATTTTAGAATGTTACCAGAATCAGAGAGAACTTTCCTCTCTGGGCAATTGAGTCTGAAATTGCAGAGTAAGAAGAGACAAAGACTAGTCAGTGTGCTGTCCTGTAATTCTTTACGTAAGGCAATACAAAGCAACATTTTATATTACTCACTTCTGCCAAAGATAGGATTACTTTAAAATCTTAAGGACACCTCTGGGGCACCTGGGTGGCTCAGTCAGCTAAGCGTCTGCCTTCGACTCAGGTCGTGATCTTGGGGTCCTGGGATCGAGCCCCACGTCGGGCTCCCTGCTCAGGGGAGAGCCTGCTTCTCCCCCTCACTCTGCCTCTCCTCTCCACGTGTTCTCTCTTGCAAATAATAAATAAATAAAATCTAAAAAATAAAAAAATAAAATAAAATTTTAAGGATACCTCTACCACCACTGCCACCAGAACTGACCTGGCTTTCTTGGTCTCAGGGGCCCACACAGAGAGGCTGGCCTACAGCTCACTGACACACTCCCCATCCCTGACCGGGCAGGTGCTTACACAGGGGCACCTCCTCCCTGTATCTCCTTTCCTAGGGTTGAAATGACAGACCACTGTGGCATTGGACATTACCCTCTCACCTCATTTGAGGCCTTGTTAGTGGACAGGCTTTCTGTAGTAGAGTCACTAAACAACCGGTAGGCAAAATGTCTGAGCTGAGGAGACTCTTCACAGGAATTATATAAGCTTCTCTTGTTTTTATTTTTTGTTCACTTTATATAATTTGTCTTTATTTATTCATTTAATACTTTAGTCCTGCTCTGGCTCCCTCTTCTATTCTAGCTGGGTGATCTTCAGTAATAACCCGAAGTACCTGCTGTCAAGGAGCTTACATTTGAGGGAGGGAGGCAAACAATAAGCAAGTAAATAAATAGCTAATGAAAATAATTTCAGAGAGTGAGGACATGAACAATGAAGGGAAACAGAAATTGATAGTGGGGGGCGTGGCTATTTTAGGTCAGGTGATCAGGAAAAGTACTTCTGAGGAGGTAGAATATGGACAGAGACCAGAATATGCAGAGTGAGCTGTTCAAAGAGGTAGGAGAAGAACCTTCCAGAGGGAATATATAGCATGGTGAAGGGCCTAAGACAGGGCCATACCTGATGGTTCGAAGAACAAGATGGCCAGCATGACTGGTGACAGTGAGCAAAACATAATCTG